GAACACCGCGAAAAATAAATCCGTCAGTGAGCACGTAATCGTCAAAAGGGCCAGACGACAGACGGACCTAAGTAGGCCCGAAAAATGGGTCATTCGCATAGTTCTCCGTAAGCAAATCAAACCCCACCACTGCAACTCGCATATCAGTCAAAACCAACGTACGACGGCTCAAAGCATCAGCCACGCGATTAGACGTACCTGATCGATGCTTCAAAACAAAGGTGAACTGCTGGAGGAATGCAGTCCACGAGGCATGGCGAGCGGAAATATTATCCTGGGAGGCGAGATGACGTAAGGCCTCGTGATCAGTGAACAACACAAACTCTCGATGAAACAAATAATGGCACCAGTAACGAACGGCACGTACCACCGCATAGAACTCTACGTCGTAAGTGCTATAACGAAGACGCGGGCCAGATAACTTTTCACTGAAAAAGGCCACCGGGCGGGCCTCCTGGCTCAACACTGCGCCAATACCAACCTTTGAAGCATCACAAGAGAGCTCAAAAGGTCGCGAGAAATCTGGAAGAACGAGCACGGGAGCCGATGTGAGTTTCTCCTTAATAAGAACAAAAGCCTCAGCTGCTTGGGGAGTCCAAATAGAGGACTTCCCCGTAAGACAATCAGTAATGGGGGCCACAATAGAACTGAAATGGGCAATAAACCGTCTATAAAATGACGTCAGTCCATGGAAACTCTGGGCCTCCGTGAACGAGGTAGGAGTGGGCCAGTCACGAATAGTCGCCACCTTACCCTCATCCACGCGCACACCTGCAGCAGAAATAACGAATCCCAAAAACAACACCGAATCCACCAAGAAAACACACTTCCGAGGGGCCGCATAAAAAGACTCAGTGCGAAGAATAAGCAAGACAACACGCAAATGCAGCAAATGATCCTCAAGAGTACGGCTATAAATAAGAATATCATCAAAATATACGACAACACACTTACCAATAAGGTCCCGGAGGTGCTTGGTTCATCACCCGCATAAATGTACTAGGTGCATTGGACAAACCGAAAGGCATAACCATCCACTCGTATAACCCCTCCCGAATTTTAAAGGCCATTTTCCACTCATC